AGAACAAAAGGAAAAGAAAGAACAAGACAGCAGACCCGGCAGATACCGTAAAACACCCCACCAACATCCAACATCCAGCAGAAGGGGTTCCAGCCACCCAGCTAGTAATGAATTGTAGTTCATTACTCCTGGTTCACCCTAGCTGGGTGGCTGGAACCCCTTCTGTACAGACCCCTTCCAGTACAGACAGAAGAGATCTATAAGAGCAGACCAAGTGGTGAGATCTGCCTGAAGGAACAATGTGTTGCCGGCCTTTGGAATGGCTTCTTTTCTTGTCCCACCACTCTAGGGAGTGCCACGAAGCTGCCACGCTCTCTTTCGAGGGCACGCTGCGTGCATATCCTCCACTTGGTATGCAGCCACAAGGGCTGCTTCAGCTGGAAAAGAACCCACGTTTGTTTGGCCAGATTGCTCGTTCATTCTCTGAAGGTTCACGCGCAGGGACAGGCAGAACAAGGAGCGCTTCCTGTCTTTGAGACTGCCGCGTCCTCTGCAGGAACGACCAGCAGGCGTGGACGAGGATGGGGTTTCCACATCCTGCACAACTGGCGGTGTCCTTTTCTGCCACTCTTAGTGTGAAGACACTCTAAAATTGATCTGTAAATTAGACTTCCCAAAGTTTAAAAAAAACATGGACAAACCGAGGAAATGATGCTCTTACACACTTTGTAACATCATCCCACTCAACTTTGAACTGATTCTGTTAGCTAAAAGGAGGCAGAATTCTCTTTGATAGAACTGGGTAAGGCCACCAAGGTCCAAATTATTGTTGTTGTTGCTGTTTATTAAACCTGAATGCTGCCCAACTCTCAACGGCTCAGGGCGGCTCACCACGATCAGACAAAGAAATTACAATAAAATCAATAAAACAAAAGATAAAAGATAAAAGATAAAAGATAAAAGATGGCAGGCCCGATGAAGTGAGGGCTCTCCCTCTCCTTGGTCAAAGATCTGGGTGAATAAATAAAACTGCTTCAACAGCTGGCTTTCCCAGTTCTTTATACCGCATTATTAAACAAGTCAAAATGCTACAATTTCTACAACTAGGAAGGTTCCGTCTGGAGATAAAAGAGAATGAGGCCCAATCAAGGCCAGATGTTGGGAGACCCACTGTCAGATTTTCAGTGACAAGTGCATCTAGGTCTCAAAGAGGATGCAGTTCTGACCACAATGGTGTTGCTGGGTGGAAGTTCAGATTTCCTCCCTCTGCCATTTTCCAGCTGGCATGGCTTTTCTACAGCTGGTCCTCGTCCTCTGAAGCAAAACAGCCAGGAACCAAGATAACCAAAACTTATCTGTTTTGCCCGTGAGAAAAAGGAGAGCCAGTTTGGCAAAGTGGTTAAGCTGCTGGCCTAGAAAGCAGGAGACGGAGAGTTCTAGTCCTGCCTTATGCATGAAAGCCAGCTGGATGACTTTGGTTCAGTCCCTCTCTCTCAGCTGAACTCACCTCACAGGGTGGTGGTTGTGGGGAAAATAGGAGGAGGAAGGAGTATTAGGTAAATTCGCCACCTTGAGTTATATATATATATAAAAGTTGGGAAGGAGGAGGAGGAGGAAGCACAGTTTCAAATGACAGCACAACAGACTTGACCACAGTCACCCCAATGGTTGTTCTGCTTCGATGCCAAAGCCTCCTCATCATCAACAGTTCATGGTAAGAGTGAGATTCAATACACTCTGAATCAACACATTTTCCACTTTTGCTATGCCAGTTCTCAGTTGGCAGTCTCTGGGGTGAGCCTGAGGTCATCTCTAAAGCAGAACACCTTAACAACAAAGACAAAACAAAGTCTGAAGCAGCTACAGGTTACCAAACAATGACGGTGCCGTTGGTGCTGAGCTGTGTTAGCAGAGGGGCAAGTAATACGGCTATACAGTGCTTCAGAAATATTTGCGGAAAAGTGCCTCTGAGCATACGTGGGCATAAACATCATGGCTGTCTGCAGCCCTTTAAAGCAGCCACATCCTTTCCGACAGAAAGCAGGAGATGCTCCTTGATCATTAAAATCTTAGGGAATGACAATGGGGGTGGCAATGCAACTACTCTCGTAGCATGCCCCCACGCACCCCACCCAATCCACCAAGATCTCACTGTCAAGAATGTCAGAGAACCTGACAGAAGGAGAACCAGCAGGAAAAATGTCAGTTATCCACAGAGGTGTCCCAGATTGAATGGACTCATCCAGAAATAAATGGGCAGCTACTGTAGAGTTAATACAATATAAGATATGATCAAATCAGCATCCCCCCACAGCCCTCTAGCTGTCATCCTCAAAGGTAGCCAAGATTTCCAAAGAACCCTCAAAGATCTCTCCAAATGAATCCCATGCACACTTACCCAGAAGCAAGTCACCAGCTGGGGCTTAGCCCCAGAAAAGAGTGCATAAGGTTGCAGGAAGAGATATAGCCTTACCTGTCAATCACTAGTTCCAGAAGAACCACATGGGAGTGCTGTGTAAATTCAGGGTCATTCTCGACAAAGTCATAATATTCCATCAAAGCCACCAAGTCCAGGTCACAGGACATTTTATCTGGAAATTTCCAGGAAGGAAAGCGCACTGCTCCAGCATGGGAGAAAACGCTGATGACAGTCCCTTGGAGATCAGTGATGTCCTTCCGCAAACTTTCCATGCAGTTTCTGTTAATCAGCAAACTCACCATGTTGCCACCCTGATGTCATTTGACCAATAAGTAAAGTTCTTGAGTCTTCAGACAGATGTTCCTGGAGGGAAGCAACTCATATAAGAACTGACATGAAACTGGCCAGCTAAAGCACAGGAAAAGCAACCGGGGAGGGAGTGTTCATAAAGTGGAAGCTGAGGGAAGAATAAAGCATCTATATAAATTTAATAAATAATAATAATTAGAGGAGAGTCTATGGTCTTCCAGATGTTACTGAACTACAGTTCCTAGTGCTCCAGTCAACCTCACCAACTTTGAGGAAAGCTGGAAGTGGGGTGGCATATAAATTTAATAAACTACTGTTGTTGTTGATGTTGCTGTTTTAGAAACTGGAGGGCCACAGCTGGTCTAGCAAGAAGACACAGGTTTATTTTACTTTATGTTGTTGCCAACCCATCCCAAAAGTGCACAATGACCTGAAATCACATCCTGTGAGGGTAGGAAGGCCGGGTGTGGTGCAGGGCTGGCCCAACACAACTGGCATAAGAGGCAGCCATCTCAGGTGGCAGAAGTTCAAGGAACAGCTATCCCCCTCCAGGTGCTTCCCTGAGTTGGACAAAGCTGTATATTCCAGACAGCCTCCAACTGCCTTCAAGTGGGGTGGAAGACCCTCTCCAGTCGCCCGTGCTGGAGTAAAATGGGACTGCCCCTTCAGGCAATGAAAGCACAGCTGGTGAGAGAAGGGGGAGCCTCTTGTTCTGTTTCAGGCTGCAAAATGTCTTGGGGTGACTCTGGAGTGCTGAGATGCAAGGCTTACAGTGGCCTGGCATTCTGCAGAGAGATCTCACGATGCTGCTAAGCTCAGCTCCAAGCATTCAACCCGATGGGGCATGCTGGCTTCGGGTGCAACGACCTGTCATTTAGCAACACCCCACACGTACCTTAGATTGTCAGGTGCATGCATGAAAGACGCCTTGCAAATGCTTAAGTGCTACAGGAGAGAAGCACGGGGAGCATCCTTCTTCCCTCCAAGTAGGTGGAATTAACACCTGTCCCTCCCTAAGTTTTGATCCTTAAAACTCCCAAAAACGCATGCCAGGGTTGGGCACCATCTGGCTGAGCTGCCCATGCCCCTCTGAACCGGGCACCCCCCACCCTTTTTGAGTTTCCTTAGAAAGCCCCTGATGGTGCTCAGCAGCACGTGCTGCCAGGAAAGATGCCAGTGGGCGCCTGCTGCAATAAAGTCTGGTGCCCTCCTCACCGCCTGGATCTCAACTCCCATAATCCCCAGCTAGCATGGGGGTTGTAATGTAATTCATCACCTTAGGAAAGTACCAGGCTGGGCTAGGCTGCTCTAGGCATTCCTAAATTAAGGAAATACATCGGAAAAGGAGGATAAATAGCCAAGCTCCGGTGCCCTCCTGAAATCCTGATTTTTATTCGCCAGCCAGCATAAGTTATCCTAAATATGTTTTATTATCGCCCCTAACTGTTGTCTGTCGGGAGAAAGAAAGCAAAGAGAAGGCGCTCTGCCCATGCCCTGAGGCACTCTCCCCAGTGCCGCACAAAAAGCCTCCCCTGACATACCAGCCGAGATTTATGGGCTCTCTGCCTCCCAGAGGCTCCCCCTAACTAGAGAGTGGGGAGGGGGCCACGGTGGGAAAGACCCACCTGCCGACTACTAGCCGCCCGCGGCTCTCGCCAGGCGCCGCGCAGGCCTCCGCTGCCATAGCAACCCCCGCAAGCCTTCCCGGCGCACGCGCGGGCCGAGGCCCCGCCCCTTTAGAACGGCGCCTAAGCTCCTCCCCCCGCCCGTCTGCTGGTGGGGAATCCCGAGTGACGTGGCGGCCTTGGAGCGCCGCGCGCCGGCGGGTTCTGCAAAGCAGGGAGGAAGCCGTTTTACACGCCTTGGGGCTACCGGGAAAGGACCCGGAGCTTCCCCTCGCCTGGGAAGTTGAGAAGGGCGAGGACGGGTCGGCACCCGGAGAAAAGTGCAGGGATGCGCCAGCTCGGCTGGAGGGGACGTTCCTGCTTGCCGAGATAAGGAGGCGCCCGTTCCAGGAAGCCCCAGCAGCCCCTCTGAACTGGAGAGCGACTTTCCCCCAGCTCTGGGGGCAGCCCCGAACTAGCCTTGGCGGGCCCCCAGGGCTAAGCAGGGACAGCGAGGGAAAAAAACATCCCGGAAGAAAACGGGCTCCAATCTTTTCCTTTGGTTGCCTGGCCGACCTCTCTGAGGTCCAGAGGCTGGGCGCCGAGGCGTCTGAAAGGGGTGCTCCTGGCGCTGCGTTGGATTGCGCCTCTTGTCCTGGCCGAAAGGGGGGAGCGGGAGGACCGCTGAGGAAGGCTGCTGCGCCCAGAGACCTGCGAAAGCCTTGGGGACCCCAGGCGGCTTCCTTTCCGAATTGACGATGTGCCATCAGGTCGTTTTCGACTCCTATGGGTAGACCTTCTCCAGGAGGATCTGTCCCCAACCTGCTCCTTCAGCTCTTCCAACGGTGCCCCCATCGCCACTGCAACTGAGTCCCTTCACCTGGCTGCTGGTCATCCTCTTCTCTTCCCTTCCACCTTTCCCAACATTAGAACCTTCTGAACAGACACACGTAAGACACGTGGGGTTTATCAGGACTAGAGCTTTCGCCATCATCTGGTGGAGGAAGGTTGATTTTTATTCCTGGCTGGGTTAACCAGGTCAGGTGAACGTCTAGCAGTTGCATTCACATAACATGGTAAACTTGGTTAGGGATAACTTTGGTTTGTATTCTGTGGCATGGCATGTTGTGCCAGTCCACCCCCTTTGGCTGAGAATGGGAACATGATTTAATTCGGTTAACCCAAGTTAAGCATGTGTGAAAGCAGCACACAGAAGGGTCGACTATCAAGAATGAAATCAGGTGGATGTGACCTACAAAATCCAAAGTGTCTTACAATAAATGTAAAAGGAAATTAAGAATAGCAAAGTAGGGATAATATCACAGACGAGCGTTATTTGCTTTCGGGAAAAAATATCTTTTAGGCACGTTTCTCTAAGGAGGAGATGGCTTTGGACTGAAAAGTAGATTTTGCATTATGTCCTGTCTCCCAGCTGGGAGCACAGAGCGTCATGTGAACATCTGGTAAATCCAAGGAGATGCCTGAAAGAGAGAAAAAACCCGATCTGCCCCACAAGCTCCGTTCCCAAGGTTTTAAATTACAAGGGCATAAATAATGCTATCGCACCAATGTTTTAATAAAGGCTCGGACTGCATTTGGCAAGTGGGCCGCTCTACCCGCATCTCGATGGTGCTCGACGTGTCCCGAGGCAGAACTGTGCGCACGCGCCGGTTCTTCCTAGGCTCCACCCTCTTCGGAAAGCAGGGCGGCCCCCTCTGCGCGCGCATCCTCACAGGCGCCACCATTTTATCGCCGTCGTTGGGTGGTTGTTTTTGCGCGGAGCTTCTGTCCCGCCGCAGAGAAGGGGCGCCATGCCGGCCGGACCTGTGCAGGCGATGGCGCCTGCCCAGCCAGCTCCTCCGGAAGCCAAGCAGGTACTTCGCAGCTTTCGCTTTCAGGGATAAGGACCCCCCGTCGCTTCGCTTCTCCGCCCCCGCACCTGGGGCCTCTCAGAGGAGCGAGGCTTTCTCCCAGGGTGCTTAGCGAGAGAAGTTGGTGTATGCTGGGAGTTGTAGTTTTGAAAGGTGACGCCGGTCCCGAAACAGCTTTCCTGCTGCTCTCACCCTCCGATAGGTTGGGCTGCCAATCCCATGGTCCCCAGCCAGTTTATATAGAGGTCCCCTTCGGACTCGCCTGCTGGCTCGGAATTGGGGGGATGGAGAGTCCTGGCTGATTTTGCGGAAGTGTTGCCATGGTGGTTAGAACTTGGATGGGAGACCACCAGGGAGTCCCAGTGCTTTAGGTTAGACTGGGAAGAACCCCCCCCCCCATTCTGAAAGAAATCAGTGGCAAAATACTCCAGTATATTGCCATACTACTAATACTACATAATACATAATAATACATAATACTAC